AAATTTCGTTACTGTTCACCGAACATTACTGTTCATCCGAACCCAAAAATTGAATCTTTAACCAGAGATTTAAGATCAAAAACCCAATAAAACTTAAATCCCTAAGAATTAATCAAGGTGGCTCTGATACCACTTGATACATCTACATCATAAAACTTGAGATCTAAAACCATATAGCCATGATTAATTCAAAGAGATTAACAAAAGTCTAAAAGAGCGGAAGCTTATACCTGAATCCATTGCTTGATCTTGATTTTGGGTTTTGAATCTTCTAACCTTAGGGTTTTCTGAAGCTTATACCTGAATCCATTGCTTGATCTTGATTTTGGGTTTTGAATCTTCTAACCTTAGGGTTTTCTCTTTAGCCGAATTTCTCTCTTAGATGGGGGTGAAGAGAATTAGAGAATGTAGTAACCCTAGATTAGGGACCATAACCCCTTATTTATAGATGTTGTACTTTTATAATTTAGCCCCTCAATAAATCATAATTACAACCTGGTATCTGCACATATAACCCCATGACTTATTTAAATACCAAATTAACCTAACTTAATTGATCACTTTAGTGGGTTATCCTGAAAGATAGCAATACACATTGATTAATCATATGTGCCCACAAATAGATTTATTAGATTAAATCCAACACTTATTGGATGCACATCAGAAAAATTTATTACAAAAAAAGAGGTAATTCCTAACTCTATTCAAGTAATAATTTAGAAAATAATAAAATTCATAAGTATTAAAATAACATTTATTCTCATTGCAACAGAAAATTAATCAGAGTCCATATTTCCAGAAATTAGTTTTGAACATCGAAAAAATGTTCAAATTTCTGGTGAAGTTAGATGAAAAGACAAAAGATGAACGAGGCGAAGGAAATATAATAGCACAAGAAATTCAACTCCAGCTTGATATTACAATCGATGTAGATGATGAAGATGCTACTCTAGAATTGTCCATGAAAAAGATAAAGGTGGAGAAAGATTGATATTAGTTCAATTAGAAATTTTAAAGTATAATATTTTTTAATCATTTTATGTCATAACTTAATTTTTGAGTACAATTAGGAATTTTTATAAGGTATTTTAATGCAAACTTATTATTATTTTTGTATGCTTATGTGATTGCTTTCATCACATAAAATTGCACTTTAATATTTAACCGTTTCTTATCATTAATTATTGTCTAAGGATATGATCCTGCATTTATAATATGTTTGTGGTCCCTTCATCAGTTTCTTATCATTAATTATTGTCTAAGGATATGATCCTGCATTTATAATATGTTTGTGGTCCCTTCATCAAGTTACCATTGTGTTGAATATCTGCATTTATAATATGTTTGTGGTCCCTTCATCAAGTTACCATTGTGTTGAATATTATCTTATTCATTTATTTGAAGGATTAGATTTGTTTTGGTGTGCTGTAGTCAAAATATTGTTAATCACTTAGTATAGCTCGAGATAATTTTGAACACTTTTGCTAGGAGTTCGTTTATTAAAATTTAGTGCTGCTGGATAAAATTTGTGGATTTTTTCTTTGTTTGAATTCTTAAAGGTTTTTTAATTGGGGATAGAATATGATTGATTCAGTGTTATGTGGTTAGAAAATAATTTACAAGTTTATAGTAAATCAGACAGTGATCTTATCTTTTTGAGTCAAAAATTAGTTGAATAAACTTAATTTTTAAACTATTTGAACTCAATTTTTAAATAAACTTAATTTTTAAAATATTTTTATTAATATTCAAATAAAATACTAATAAATCTAATAATTTAATTTTACATATTTGAACTCAAGAAATCTGACTTAATTAAAGTAATAAAATAAATATAAAAGAAAAAAAATATTTTAATATTTTACCACGTGCATTGCACGTGCATAAAAACTAGTAAGTAAAATGAGGGGGGTTCGGAAACTGAAGGTATAATTTAGTGAGTTTGTGTGCAATCTACTTTAAATTAATTTATCTTAAAAAGTAGTAATGTAAAAATTTTGAAATTTTTCTGCATTAGCTCAATTTGAAATAAGTTCAAAAAATTAACAATTAAACTTATTGTTGTCGAGGTTGCATATAATTTTTTTTTAACATATAAGTTTTCTGAATGAAACTTTTTGTATATATACACAACATCTCTATATTTAACTTCCGTTTATATAAAAACTGTAGCACTCTTTTGCATAAAATCCTAAAAGGAGGTGGCGCGTGCACGTGGCCTCCTCACTAATATTTCTTGGAGGACGAAAGAGAAGGGAATCTCCTTTTATCAAAAGCTGACACCGACCAATGTGATATTTAACTTCGTAATTTCTTATTTTATCACTGTATTCTTTTTTTTTTGGTCCTTTTTGATGTACCATTTAGTCCTTTATTATGCGTTGCGTGGAACCACCGCGGAAGCGAATCTCCTTTTCTTTTGCTCGCAATGGCTTGGCTATGAGCGTCGCACTTCATGCGCCTTAACCATTCTGTTAATTACAATTAGTTATAATTACGGTTTATCCTTGATTGCCTAGGAAATAATTGTTCATTCACAGGAGAATAGAGAGAAATTCCTTTGGAATAGTGGGTAGTGAGTGAAGAGGAATTAATGGAACAAGATCGAATAACGCAATAAAGTTGTAAAAGACTATTGTAGGATCGTAAACATTATTTACTCTACAAAATTAGCAGGAAATCGATTAAACTTCTTTTTTTGCTTTGGGCCCGTTTGGATAATGGAAGTATTAAGGCACTGTTTGGCAACAAAAAAAAGTGTCTTATCTAAGAGCTTGTGTCTTATTGACTTGGTTAATAAGCTAGTAGAGCTGTTTAGTAACCAAAAATAGGAGGAGATTATTTTAGAGATTGTGTCTTTTACAAGTAGCTTTTGGAAAGCTACTTCAAGTAGCGTTTGTCTTTGGGTATGAGCTGCCAATTTTTTCTTCCATTTTTGCCCCTAATAATTCTAATTTTATATCAATAATATTACATGTCTTTTTAGTCATTTAACAAATTTAAGCTAGTTGTACAGCTACTTTTGCCAAACAGCTCTAGGCTCTGTTTGGCAAAACTAGCTGAAAGCTGCGAGATTATAGCTGAAAGCTGTCAAGCTAGCTGAAAGGTATGAAATTATAGCTGAAAGCTGATAGCTGTGTAGCTTGCTGATTGACTAGAGCTGTTTGGCAAAAGAAGCTGTACAACTAGCTTAAATTTGTTAAATGACTAAAAACTAGAGCTGTTTGGCAAAAGAAGCTGTACAACTAGCTTAAATTTGTTAAATGACTAAAAAGGTCATGCACCATTATTGATATAAAATTAGAATTATTAGGGATAAAAACAGAAGAAAAAAATTGACAGCTCATTCCTAAAGACAAACGCTACTTGAGATAGCTTTCTAAAAGCTACTTGCAAAAGACACAATCTCCAAAATAATCTCCTCCTATTTTTGGTCACCAAACAGCTCTAATAGCTTATTGACCAAGTCAATAAGACACAAGCTCTTAGATAAGACACTTTTTTTAGTTGCCAAACAGTGCCCTAGTCAATCAGCTAGCTACACAGCTAACAGCTTTCAGCTATAATTTCACAGCTTTCAGCTAGCTTAACAACTTTCAGCTATAATCTCGCAGCTTTCAGCTAGTTTTGCCAAACAGAGCCTAAAAGTAAGAAGTATGTTATAGAAGTAACTTTCAAAGCTATGAAGTAGGAAGTAGTGGAAATAGCATTTTTTTGTTTGTTTCATATATTTTTAGAAGTAATGGAAGTAAAACTTCTTCCTCTTCATTTACTTTTTTTGTTTGGATAACATTTGAAAATATTATTAGGAAGTAATTTTATTAATGAAAAGTTATTAGAAGTAACTAATAAAGAAAATATTAATAAAAAATTATTTATGTCATAATTAATATGCATTTCAACTACTTCCGAGCTACTTTTGAGTATTGAGGATTAGAAAAATATTTTGGAAGTAATGATGACACGTAGGCGTCACATAAGCATTTAGGAAAGTATTGGAAGTAAGTTTTTCAAAGAACCAAATACACTTTTTTACTTGAAAGTAGCAGAAGTAGCCTCTACTTCTTTTACTTCAACTACTTCACAATTACTTCCATGCAAACAAACAGGCCCTTTGTCATAAACATACAACTAATTGACTTTTTAACTACCTCCGCACTTTCGTTATGATCTTGTTCCCAAGTTCTCAAAACACCACTACTAAAACAACCGTGAATTTATTTTAGTTTCACGAGAACAATTTGAAATAAAAAAATTAATAGTATTTTTCTCAGAAACAGTTACCATCTATTATAGTTTCAGATTGAAAAAAGTATCCTAAGTAATATATATCAAGAGCTTTGCTACAGGGACCCAAAATATAGGACCAATAGGGGGGACAAGTGAGGTGTCCCCCTCCTATTGGATAATGAGTTGGCCATCATTAATGATGACCAACTCATTATCCAATAGGAGGGGGACACCTCACTTGTCCCCCTTATTGATCCCATATTTTAGGTCCTTAAGGAATTTTTCATATATCAATATACGGAAAAGAAGAAAATTTTAAAATTGCCTCAACAGAATTTTTTTCAAAAAAATAGACACCATTCACTTTTAATTATAGAAATCGACCAACTTTGAATTAATTACGATACCAATTAGTCGGGGTTGTCAACCCCGACTAATTAGTAGCCTAATTATAAGCGGGGTCAAGGAGCGGGGAATGTTTGCGGCTGCTAATTAGACTACTAATTAGTCGGGTTTGACAACCCTGACTAATTAGTATAGTAATTAACTCAAATTGGATCGATTTCTATAATTAAAAGTGAATGGGGTCGATTTCTAAAAAAAAAAAAAAAAAATCCGTTGACGATTTTGAAAATTTTTTCGTAACCGAAAATACAAACACTCCCGTACACAGCACGTGACGTCCATAAAAGCACACTCGCACCTTTACATACAACTTGTAAATTCATCAAAGTCCACCAAGGCCTAACAAAATGAAAAAGTACTATCTCAAAATTAACATGCAAAAGTAATTAAAGAGCAAAGAATCCGTATGCTTCCTCCTTTATCGATTGCTTAATGGTGTAAACCTCTCCCATTAATCACAGCTCTATATTGCTCCCAACGTGAGAACATAACAACATCAATATTTGCACCAAAAATCAACAAATTAAGAAAACAAAGAGAGATCTAGAGAGAGAGAAAGAGAATGGACAAAGGAGAGCAACAATTTGAGATGGTAGCCAAAGCCTTTGTAGATCACTACTACCTCTTATTTGACACAAATCGTGTTGAACTCTCCTCTCTGTATAACCAAACCTCCATGCTCTCGTTCGAGGGCCAAAAGATTCAGGGGGCTGAAGAGATCGGGATGAAGCTCTCTCAGCTCCCGTTCGATCAATGTCGGCATGCGATCTCGACCATTGATTGTCAGCCGTCGCCGCTTGCTGGTGGAATTCTTGTTTTTGTTAGTGGAAACCTCCAGCTGCCCGGGGAGGAGCACCATCTCAAGTTCAGCCAGGTGAGTCAATTTCCATTTATTTATTTATTTATTTATTTTTGTAAACACTCGTAGAAGCTGGTTTTTGTAGTATATCTCTCAAAATAGTAATTAATATTTTATAATGTTAATTGCAAATAAACCCCCTGTAGTATCACCTTGTTGCGAATTGACCTCCTATATATAGTTCAGTTTATTGTGAAGAGGCCTCATCTAGTATTAGTCCAGCGAACTTCTTTAACTTTTTCAAACGTAGAAAATAGCAATTGAGGGTCCACCTCCTCAAATCTCTTTAAACGATTTTAAGCGTAAAAAAAAAGTTCATTCAAGGGTCTTTTCACAATAAATAGAATTATAAAGGGTCTATTTAGACTGAGTGACACTATAGGCGTTTGTTTGAAATTAACCCTATATTTTATATACTAATCACATTATCATTGATTAGCTATTATAATTTTTCTGAGCACTTTTCATTTGATCCAAATATCATGAAACTATACTTAAGATAGGACACCATTGGGTATGTTTGGTTGTTTGATGTAAACTTGAGAACACTTTGGAAAGTGGCCATCCACCTCATTGTTTTACCTCTTTTTATTTTCTTTGTTTGGTTGGATATTCTTTTCATTTATTTCGCTGCAAGAGTGAGAAAAGATGGGGTCCATACAACTACCAAAATGAAATCGAACGGGAGCTGTTTCAGACCATACAAGCTCTTTTTCAATCTGCACGCCATCTTCTCTTTGCCTTTCTGAGTGAACCCCTCTGGCTGCTGCATATATATATCTCTTCCTCTAAGTCACCATGGAGGAAAGCTGTCTTCACATCTAACTGTTCGAGATGTAGATGCTCAGCTGCAACAATGCTCAGAACCGATCTGATAGTAGTCAATTTGACTACATGAGAGAAGATTTTCGTGTAGTCAACTCCTTCTTTCTGCTAAAATCCTTTGACTACCAACCTTGCATTGTATCTCTTAGAACCATCATGCTCCTCCTTGATTCTGTACACCCATTGTTACTCAAGGCTTTCTTTCCCACTGGTAACTTCGCAAGCTCCCAAGTATTGTTAGTGTTCAAGAACTTCATCTCATCTTTCATAGCGAGCTCCCACTTGCCCGCATCACCCACTCGACATGCATCATCATAGCTTTATGGCTCTCCATCGTCACTCAACAATTAGTTCAAATGAGACATGGGCTGAAATGATGGATACTTCAGATTTGGCTTGGGTACTCTTGATGTCCGCCTCAACTCTCTGATGGATGGACCAAGCTCTGCATCTGTCCTCTCTGAAGTTGTCTCCTCTATCATCTCTTCTTCCACTTCTTCTGCTCCTTCCTCATCAGAACTAGCCTCAAGGTTTCTCCCATCTGGAACATCATCCGACTCGAAGTATGTAGGCTCAGACTGCATCGAACTAGTGGACTGAACAACATCACGATCTTTGTAGAGGACTGTTTCATTGAAGACAACATCTCTGCTTCTGATGAATTTCTTGTTCTGCTCATCTTATAACTTATAGTCAAACTCATTACCACCATAGCCAATAAAATAACATTTCAAAGATTTAGAATCTAGTTTGTTTCTAACATGAACTCAAATGAACATATGAAACACAACCAAAGACTCTTAGATGAGAAATGTCTACCTGCTTTTCACTCCATACTTCTTTAGGTATTCTATGCTCCAAAGGCACTGATGGTCCCCGGTTGATCAGGTAGACAGCTGTGTTGACTGCTTCTGTCTAGAACTGCTTTGGAAGTCCTGCTTGTAGACGCATGCTTCTGACTCTCTGAGTCAGCGTCCTGTTCATCCATTTAGCTATGTCATTCTGCTGTGGAGTACCTAGCACTGTCCTCTACAATCTGATGCCACTATCATAACAGAACTTCTTGAACTCTGAATATTTATATTCACTGCCATTATCTGATCGAAGCTTCTTGATCTTCAAACCTGTTTTATTTTCTACCATAGCCTTTCACCTTTTGAAGACTTCGAACACTTCTGATTTTTGTTTCATGAAATAGACCCAAGTCTTCCTCAAGTGGTCATCTATGAATGTCACAAAATATAACCTTCCACCAGTAGACTGGACTGATGCTGGACCCCATATATCTGTGTGAACTAGCTCAAGCTTCTCTTCTTTCGGAGTTCTGTCAACTCTTTTGAAGCTTATTCTCTTCTATTTCCCAAAGATACAGCTCTCATATAAGTCAAGACCAGTCGACCTCATATTTGGTAACTTCCCATTTGACTGCATAACCTTCAGCCCTTTGCTTCTCATGTGACCAAGCCTTTGATGCCACAAATTTGGATCTTCTTTGCTCTCAACCACTGCAACGGATCCACATGCCTTTGTCGTCATATAAAGAGACCCACTCTTCATGCCATGAGCAAAAATCATTGACCCCTTGGTAACCTTCCACGTATCACATGCGAAGGTTGATACATATCCCTCTTTTACTAGCTATCCTATGGAGATCAGATTCTTCCTCAAGCTTGGAACATGTCTCACATCATTCAACTTCCATACAGATCCATTGAGGTTGATCTGCACCACTCCTTTTCCAACTATATCACACGTCTAATCATCACCAAGGTAGACTTTTCCTAGATTTCCTAGAACATAGTTCTCAAATAGATCTCTATTTGAGGCAGCATGAAACAATGTTCCCGAATCCAGCACTCACGATTCTGTTTTGCTCTCCAACGAGCAGATGAGGACATCATTTGATTCTCCTGAGGCGACGTTCGCTTCAGTCTTTCTCTTCTTATCTTTCTTGGGTTCCCTGCACTGATTCTCATAGCGCCCATACTTGCCACAGTTTCAACAATCAATCTCTTTCTTGCTTCTACGATTTCTAGACTTTGACCTGTCGTTCCTCGAATTAGGTCTCCCAACACTATTCCCTCTATTATTGTTTCTGTTTCTACCCCTGCTCTCAACATTCAGTGCCGACCCTGAGCTAGAAACTCCTTCTTCATGCCTTCTAATCTCCTCGGTCATAACCATGTCAACAACCTCTGAAAACTTTAGTTTCGATTTTCCAAAAGATCCACTAATCGAAATAACGGTGCCCTTCTAACTATCAGGCAACTGACCAAGTATTAAGAGGGCTTTAATTTTATCATCGAATTTAATGTTAACGGAGTTTAACTGATCCGTGATCTAATTAAACTCGTTCAAGTGATCTTTGAATTTTTTGATTCTCGGACATCTTCAAATTAAATAACTTCTTTATGAGATGTACCTTATTCGCTGCAGAGGGTTGTTTATACATACTGGATAAAACAGCCATGAGTTCCACCGTCGAGTTTTGATTCTTGATGTTGAAGGCTACAGATCTGGACAAGGTCAACCTGATTGCTCCAAGGGCCTTCCGATCTAACAACTTCCACCTACATCCTTCATATCCTCCGGCTTCTCTCCCAACGACAAATACGGATCCTTCTGATAGAGGTAGTTCTCCATCTGCATCTTCCAATACCCGAAGTTTGTCCCATCAAACTTCTCGATCTTCAATGTCTCCTTCCCGAATTCCATATCTAACCTCAAATCGCCAGCGCCGAACCTGGCCGCTCTGATACCAGTTGATAGAGTTTTTCTAACCCCTGTTGCGATTTGGAAATAGAGATGAGAGAGAAGAGAGAAAAAAATCACAGAACACACAGAATTTAGGTGGTTCACTTCTCAATGAGAGAAGCTACATCCACGGCCGCTGCATGTAAAATTCCACTATGTTCTGAATAGTTTACAAGCTGCGCTGTAATCACCCTTTTACAACTAGGGTATTAGTGCGACTTAAAATTACATGTATACCCTTAGTTTGATCCGCACAGTTGGGGTTCTAACGATTCGATCACTTAAGCGAATTGGGTCGGGTCTGAAAATTAGGCTCCACATAACCTAACAAGCATTTATGGAGATCTTTCACTTGTCTCATTGTTAGTTCCATGAGTAAAACTGAGAATAAGCTCAAAATAAAACACTTATTATGACAAGAAATGCCATAAATTTCAGACTTGTATCGTGGACTCGTTTGGAGAAATTCTTCTGAAAAAACAGTGGAAGTTATAAACTCTTCTCTCACCAATCGCTAAACAACACAATCCATATTAGGCGTAACTCGATGCCGCCCTCTCTCTTTTGAATTTATCACGTATTAAACCAATTAAAATATACAAATTTCCAATTACTTGCTGACATTTGGATTGACAACTATGATCTCTGATCATGCTTAACTTCTTGTAATTGGATGCAGATGTTTCAGTTGATTCCAACACAGCAAGGGAGCTTTTTTGTGCAGAATGACATATTCCGGCTGAACTATGGTTAAAGCTTAAGCATGGGATTTGGAATGATCTTGAAAGGAATATTTTAACTGAGACAAAGATGGAAGTTGATCCAAGAAATCTAAGGGGGCAGTAGCCTGTTTTGTTTTGTTTTTCCGTTTTCCGTTTTTCGTTTTTTTTGTGGGGTCTAATCATTGTTGTTCTGAGAAATAAAGAACTCTATTATTGTTGGTTTCTTAAAATTTGGTGGTTTGTAAACTTGACGCTGATTGTTACAGCTGTTATTATTGTTATTATTATTCTTGAAATGTCATTACTAGTGTTATTGAAGTTGATTGTTGACCCTGTTATTATTGTTATTATTATTTCGAAATAAAAATTGAGGTGATTTCTAAATAGAAGGTAAACTCTGATGACTATGCGATGAAGCATTTAATACTTTTAACATATCGTAAGTATTTTGGATGTGCTCGCACGGGTAAGTCTTACATGTAGAATAAGTAATCTGGAGCAGGTAGCAGAAACAGAACCCACATCATCAACTTGGAAGTATAGAAGTCTTTTTTTTTAATCTTTGGCCTTTAGAAGTTTCTTCTTTAGTCATATGAATGTGCTTCTAAATTAAATTGAACAAAATTTTTAACTACTACTTCTCTTTTCTATTTTTTTATATATACTGTAGTTTATAATGGATATGCGCACACAAATGGTTTATACCAACGACTTATAACATATGAATTATTGAAAATGAGATAGTATGAATTGAAGATTTTTCTTCAAATAGTTTGAAACTTAATAGAAATTTAAAATAAGGGGTGGATGACTTTTATTTCAAAATTTAAAATTTAGACTTAGATAGTTTAACCAGCCTTTTCTTTACAATGTTCCTATAATCTAAGACAAAAAGAGAAAAAAATAGTTGGTTTGCTGAATGAGCGCATGAATATTTTTCATTTCCTAATTATAAATTTAAAATTAGATAGTTTAACCTTCAAATTCTTCATTATAATATCTCTCATTTTTTATAGTATTTAAAAAATAAAAAAGGATATAAAAAAAGCTGACGCTTCATGTGATCACAACATCAAAAATATCTCTTTGATGTAGGAATTGTGGAGATTTTGCTAGCTGGCAATGTCATCTTACATTGACGTTTTATTATAATTTTTTTTTGAAATTTGGTATGAATTAACGAGTATATTGAGGTAAGCTATGCAACATGAAGCAATCAAATAAAACATCACAGTTAGATGATGTTTCGACTTAATTAGAAATTGAGTTAAGCCATCCAATATTGGTTTAATCTAAAACAATCTCACATTGAAACCTCAATCTTCTGATGCTTGCATTGAAATTTTGACTTAATTAGAAAAGTATATGTTATTCTAAAATATTCATTAAATATCTTAAGAATACAAATATTTATTCATAAAATAATCTTAAGAATCAATTAGAATTTTAATATAATTATTAGAAAATATCAAATAAAGCAGGAAGAAATCGAGATAATATTTTGGGTAATTTGTGTAAATAATTTGTTTATTTTTTGGATCTTAGTAAATAAATTTGTAATAGGAAAAATGTTTAACTTTATAAATCTTTATATGTTATATATTTTTTATAGGGGCTTTTTGGTTTGCCCAAAAAATATGGGAAATGAAGGAAAAAAAAGAAGAAAATGGAGAAAAAGTACAACTTGTTGTAAGTTTTTCATAACATTTTTCTTTTCTTTGTTTGGTTCACATCTTGAAACCAAGAAAAATGATGATGTGCCAATTATTATTGGTTGATGTGACCCATATTTTAGGACACCAATTTCATGGTTTTTATTGAGGAAATTGGAGGAAATTTTGTTTGATGTTTTCCTCACCTTCTTCATTTTTCTTTGATTTTAAGGAAAACAACCAAACAGGCCCATAGTGTCTTGTGTTCTATTAATATTTTAAAAAGAGACACATGTGAACCAAAAACACATCTTTATATAAATCAACAAAGACATGCTATCAAATTAACAAATAACAAAAATATTAATAAATTCATCTATAATATTTTAAGAGGAAGACTAGTTCATTAACTTTAAATATGATGTAACAAGATTTTAGAAGATTCCCCTCAACTATGGTGGATGACTTAGAAAAGCCCTCTCAACTATTTTAATTTGAGAAAACCACCTTAAAGTTTGGGTATGCTATAGAAAACTCCACTCAAGTTTAAAAAAAAAAAAAAAAACCCTCAACTATGGATGTCTCACGAAAACCACTTTTCCCACCAAACCCTCTTGAAGTCATTTCAAAATTTAGAATAACTGAAATACCTTTTTAGACATCAACCCATTTAATTACAAAAAACCCCAACTAGTAAAAAAAAGGAGCCATTTTCAATTTATAATATTTTGCCCTCTTTCTCTTATCTTTCTCCTATCCTAATTAAAAAGTCAGAGTATCTTTTTTTTATGATTGAGGGGTATTTTCATCTTTTCTCAGTAACATACCCGTCATGCGATATTTTGTCATGCGATATGCTAGACCTAACTGTGTTAGATTTTAAGTCGTAAAGTAAAAAAGAGTTCATGGGGATTTCTCAAAATTTTAAACCTGAGGGGACTTATCCACAATAACTCCATATTTGAGAGGGGTTAAGTGAGGAAAGTTTAAGCGTTTATCTTAAATTTTTATAGTTGAGGAGGGTTATCTACAATATGTGCAAACTTAAAAGAGAGTTTTCTTAAATTAAAATAATTGAGAGGAGTTTTCTAAAAGTAATCCATGATTTTATGTAGAGAAACGCTTCACATGAGTTTTTTTTTTTAATTTTGTATTTAAATATATAATTATGAGATTGTTTTTAATTATAGATAGTTATAATCTGATAGGGATTACATTATTTTTAATTATTAATTTTTTTTTAATTATGGATAGTTTTAATTTGATGAGAGTTTTTAAGTGAATATAAGATTTGGTGTCTAGGTGTCATCTTCTAATAGAGTAAAGAGATATGTAAATAATTACAATATAATATATTAACTTTTTTGTGTTTTTATAATATGATACATGTTAATTTTCTATGCACATGTTAATTTTCTATGCCTCTAAAAATGCATAAATATTATTCAATAAAAAAATCAAGTTCCCTTCATTCAAGTAGACTTGGTCTCTAGCCTGTTTCATCCTGCAGCCCATTGGATAAATTCAAAGGACGGGTATCATAATCAAACAGCCACAACACATTTGTTTAGGACGAAAATACCCCGTTTTATTAGCCTGAAAAGAGTCCACAGAGTGATAAGCGAGAGAATGGAGCAAGATGACCGGAGGAAATGGGAGAAAAAAAAATGAACAAATTAAGAAGAAGCCCGTATTCTACTCGCAGCCGAAGCCTTTGTAAATCTCTACCACGAACTCTTGTGACACCAACAGAGCTAACCTCTCCTCCCTCTACAACCAAAAACTCAGCTCTCACTTCCGATGGCCAGAGCTTTTGTGGCTCTGGAGAGATCATCAGAGAGCTCACGTAGCAGCCTTATGATCACTGCGGGCATATTATTCGGACTATCTGCAGCCTTCGCCTCGTGAAAGAGGCATCCTCGTCTTTGTCAGTCGGAGCTTTCAACGATCAAGCGATGAGAAATTTCTCGAGCTCAGCCTGCAGGTGAACGGTACACTTGGAAGTGCTCTTCCAAGATTTAAATAAAACTTTTCAAACAAGAGAGTTTGTACTCACTGATGCGCTTGATCTAACCAAAAATCTTTGAAATGGAATTGGTGTTATTTGGTTTGGTTTATGGGTCTTTCAGTTGCTGCCAAGGTGCCGATGCACAACTATGATTGGTTTATTGTACAGAACGACAAATTCTGGCTTAACTATGATTGATGACAGGACTTGAAGATAATCAAGACGCTAATAAGAGATAAAGGAGATATTACGGTTTAATTAGTGTGAATGCTGAACTCGAGAGTTCATGGTATGACAATCAAGTTCAGTCCAGTCCCAAAATCTCTCTTCATTTCTGTCGGCTGTAGGTTTTATTGTAGAAAGAGTAGTCTTAAAGCTTGATTATTAACCAGTAATTTTGGCAAAAGCGGATCCAACCAATAAGCAAATCAATGTGGATCCTAAATCATATTTGAAACCAGCAATAAAATAGAAAGAAAGAAAAAAAAAAACACCCAGGTTGAATATCACCGTAAAAATATTGGGTACGGTTTTACTCCTAGAGCTCTTTAAATATTCTATGCGAGGAAACATTCTTCCTAGTGCTTGGGAGTCCGCATACTGCTAGGTGCATGAATACAAACATGACTGAATCGGGAAATGAAGCAATTTAATAAGCAAACCGGATCTTGATTAAGGGCAAGTAATAAAATAAGCCAGATGAGATACTAACCAAACCTTAAACATTCACTCTGACCATGAAAAAGAGAGGAATTTAATTAAACCCTATTTAGATAATTGAAAAACAAACTCCTCTGAAATGATTTCACTTCGATGATGTTCAACTTAGTCACTGCCCTTGAGGCTGGAGCCCACAAACTCCTCCGAAATGATTTCACTTTGATGATGTGGCAACTGATGTAAGTGGAGGCTATGACTCTCTGCAGGACGCAGCGAACTCTGCACCTGATCAGGGCAAGGACCGTTACGTGATGTATGTTAGGAACGGGACATATCAAGAAAATGCGGCGTTGGTAAAATGAAGACCAATGTTGTGACAGTTGGTGGCGGAATGAATTCTACCATCATAATGGTTAACCTTAACGCCGTTGATGGAACAACGACTATTAACTCTGCTACATTGGGTACGCTTAACTAAGATTCATTATTTAAGTAACCTTTGCATTCCTTAAAGTAGTTGAAGTTATAATGACTTATAGATATTGGAGATTTTAATGCCAAAGTTGCGTACATTTTCAATCCTGGTCATCTGCTAGGTCTCTTTTCTAGCCTCTTAAATTCTGAGCGTATTGGGAAACCACAAATTATATGCTGGTTTCTTATTATGAGCAGGTTTCTATTGCAACACTTTCTCTTCAAATTAAAAAAATAATGTATGTTTTCCTTGTCGAGAACGTACTTCAGAGCTTCACCAACTTTCTTTGATCTTTTTTAAGATACCGCTGCAGTTAATACTGAAATTTTGTCAAAACATGTCTGGTTTCTGAGTTGATTTATTAAATACCTCTGAAACATTAGATGCTTGTTAAGGACAAATTTAGATGCTTCTTATGTCGGTTGCACCAACAATTTATCAACTTTAAAATACGATAATGTTTTCAGCGCTGCGGTGGGGTATGGAATCGTACTGCAAGACATACGCATTGAGAACTCAGCAAGACCCGAGAAGCACCAAGCTATCGCGCTCCGCCAAGGAGCTGATGGGTCAGCCATAAACCGATGCCAACTCAGGGGTTACCAGGACACTCTCTACGCTCACTCTCTTCGTCGATTTTATTGAGACAGCCTGATATCAGGCACAGTTGACTTCATCTTTGGCAATGCAGCAGTTGTGTTCCAAGATTGCAGCCTCATTGCTAGACTGCCCATGAGCTTCCAGCAGAACCTAGTGACCGCTCAAGGACGAACAGACCCAAACCAGAAGACAGGGACTTCAATTCAGAACTGTTGGGTGATTCGTAGCCCTGATCTCATTCCAATGGCGGCATCTACACCGACATATTCAGGCAGACCATGGAAGAATTTCTCGAGGACAGTGCACCTGCAGTCGTACATTGATGCTCACATAAATCCTAAGGGCTGCAGGTTAGAATGGGATGGGAACTTTGCACTGGATACATTGTACTATCATGAGTGTGAGAATGAAGGGCCAAGATCTGGGCTCGCTGGCAGGGTTAGCTGGACTGGTTATAATGTGATCACTGATCCAGAAGTGGCAAAGAGTTTTACCGCTGCAGAGTTGATACAAGGAGGTATGCGGTTTGGAGTCTGTGGGGTGGCATACGTTGAAGGTCCGCGATATGAAATGGATTGAAATAATGGCTTCCTCAAGTTCTGTATTGTATTTCTTGAAGGCTTGGCCTAAAATTTCTTAACAGAACTATGACTTTTTCTTTTATTTATTTCTTTCTTTTTTTTGGTGGGGGAGGTATTAGACATGCGTGGAGGCTATTCTACATGGCATGACCTTTGTGCTACGGTGCATAAATTTGCATAATGCAATGCTTAAACTTATCTAACGTGTAGAAACAAGCATTGAAGTAATGAACTAAAATGAAACATTGTTGTTCTCAATATGTTGAAAGCTATTCCGTTATCTAAGAAATAAGCTATATATGGTTATAGAAAAGCATGAAAAGGAAAATAAATATAAAAGCGAAAATATGCAGAATAGTAAAATCAATTGCATGACAAAACAATACATCGGCGATCGCAGTAATGCTAAAAATAAATAAATAAGATGCACCAAAACAAGCAGTTACATACAAGCTTTATAATATCGACAAATAGTTAAAAAATCAAATTATCAAATTTAACGGCCATGGTTACTACAGACTATCCCTACCATATGACTCGTAATGCCTATTCAGGCCTCAGCTTAGATTGACAGGAAAGTAGCTTTTTCCTTAACTTGGACCCTGAAGGTTCCTAAAAGCTACATCACTAAATGTCTAATCCAGTTGGTGCAATCAACATGGGAGGGGGGGTAGCTGCATGGCTGGGGTTGGATCACATAGGAGAAAAGGAAGGGGTGGCACTACAGGCACACCACCAACCACATATTGGGGCACACTCTTCTCTGCTACAGTGCATGAGGTCCACATGAAATTTTTAAAAAAAAATTATGTGAACCTCGTGCACTGTAGCTGAGAGAGGGGAATGTGCCCCAATGTGTGGTTGGTGGTGTGCCTCTACCATTTCCCAAAGGAAGGCAGAGTGGGAAAAATACTTGACTTGGAATCTAGGGAAACCAAAGACAAAGTTATACGACATATCTTAAATGCAAAAAAGGACACAAGAGCATATAAGAAAATATGACCGAGAGAGAGAGAGAGAGAGAGAAAAGAGAAAAGATATTGAATTCCGCAACTGCAATGATTCTCCATAGGTTAATTTGATGTGGATTCTCTCAATTTGAGACCACTGAGATATTTCTGGTTATCATGTTGAACAAGATGGTGGATAGCCGGGCCCCATGGTCAGGAGCATATTCCAATCCACGTATTTATGAAGAACCTTGTTTTTCTATAAGGACATAAATGAGTATTTTTAGGCAAAATCTATTCTAGTCAGTTTTTTATAAAGACCAAAAAACAGCATTCATTTTTGCGGTTCCCAGAAGTTTGAAGAAGGAAAGGTGCTCCTTTGAAAATGAAAGAAGAAAAACTGACCCTAGTCTTTGCATATATAGTTGTGTTTCAGTAGCTTTCCTCACTTGTGTTTTTAGAAATGGAGGAATGAATCCATACATCAGAACCAAAAATGCCTTCATTTTGGTGTTATTCCTAATCTTTTTGACTAAAAACTGGCAACTTTGAAGAAGAAATGAACTCATACCATAAAATAAACTTTTCTCCCCTGTATTCCTTGTTATTTAGGGGACGATATATGCTTCTATCAGCATGGCGAAAAGAGACCCAGCTCTAGCTTTGTGTTTTTTGTGTTTCTTCCTTCAGAAATGGGTGTGCTAGTAAATCACTCTCAGGATCTTTAACCAGATGTCTTTTGCTTCCTCGGGTTCAACTTACACCAGCCAAGCACACCTCAGTTTGCACCCTTCAAGATTCCAACTTGAGAGATCATATGATCCGATGGCAGTAGTTGACATCTTTAATCCAAGGGAAGGAGGAAAAACATGAAGGGTAAATCATCTTAGACCGTGTTAATACCGTAAAAAAATAGATTAATAATGGCTTCAATTGTGGGAACGTAAAAGAACAATAAACGCTTTGAAGACAACATCGCCATTCTATATATAATCAATTTGCTACAATAAACAACACTCAGAAGGCACAGTACACTGTTGAACTTGAGATAGCAAAGAGATAAAAAAGCAGAGTTAATAAGAATACTCAAACAAGAAGATACACAAGCTCAGAGGTATACTATTACATATTGCATATACATAGGGCGATTGAAGATTGTGGATAGTAAGAAAGAACGATGCCAGTTAACTGAAAAAAGAGTAACCTTATCAAATAACAGTTTATAAAAGAAATATATCTGCACAGCTATTCTTTAAACAAGGAGTCTCAAGGCCTAGACCCTTCACTTGAAATTAGTAATCAGTAGACAGTATTACAAATCGAACAAATATCAAGAAGCAACCCTTATTTCAAAAGAGAGAGCTTTTCTTATGTAAGAAGATCTAGAAACTTCACCAGATGCATCCCTTCTAGCGGACAGGAGGAGATAGAAACCAAGCTGCCAACAATGCATTTTCCACTTTAGTAGAAAAATGTTCTAAATCAAGTTCTTGAATCGCCAACTTCAGGCTTTTTGGAGTGAGGATCAACAACAGTGGGAGCCTCTACCTGCATTTTCAGAAGATTGAACTGTAGGGCCAAGATGGGTTTTGACAGTAGAACTGAAATGCACTGGTCCACTTCATTCTCTTCTGCAGCAGATAGCTCTGTGAGCTGATTTTCGTCACCAGGTTCATTTTCGTCCCAACTGTTGGCACCATCAAGAGGTCCTGGTCCTGATATTTTTGCTGTATTCACTGCTCGTATCCTGCATAATGTATCTCATCCGGGGCAATGGTCTTAGACATTACGTTTCCACATCTTTTTCAGTTGTATTCATGCAAGGAAAATTGTCTTAGTGCTTTGCAAGGTATGGATTTTTTTAATAGAATTTGATACATCTTTCGAACAGCCATATAAGTATGTTGTAATAAGTTAAACCAATCAAACCCTGAAAGGTTTAAGTATAACAGGCTTTTTGGCATAGAACCAAGAGGTGATCAGTACAATAAAACAACAGCAGCAAAGCCTTTATCCCACTGTTTGGGGTCAGCTCCATGAATCCTATCATTCCATTCCGAGCTATTAGCCTATTATAGGTCATCTACTCTATTACATTACCCATCATCGTATCCTTATTGATTGCTCACAACCAAGTTATTTTAGGTCTACCTCCAAACCTCTTTGTCTCATTAACTACAATATTATTACTTTTCCTAACCGGTGCACTAAGAGGTCCCTACACATGACCAAACCACCTTAGTATATTCCCTCTCATTTATCCTCAATTGGTGATCAGTATAATACTAGAGGGAAATTTTTACCAAATGGGCGGCTCGGATTCAAATGGTTCTATGACACGAAGGTGCAAGTTGCAACTATATCTCATAAAAAATGAAAGGATCTATGCCATCAAGGTGCAACTATATCTCATAAGAAATGAAAGAAAGAAAAAGTTTTGTGTGTGTGTGTTCGTTGTTGTTGTTGTTGTTATTGTTACGTTTTTTTGGTGGTGGTTTTGGGGGGG